GTTCTATTCCAGAGGGCGTACTCTCACACAAGGCGTGATCTAATTTTACCCACAGAAGAAGAAACTGGAGCCATAATAAAACAGACAAGCTAACAGGAGAGCAACAAAAATCTCCAAAATGCCTTTTTAAAGCTCTTGAATCCTGCGTGCACATTAACGGGCTTAGACTTGAGGTCGCATTAAATCGAGGTTGTAGCTGTCAGGGAAGAACCCCGCTGCTCCGTTGTGTTTTGGACGCAGACAGTTTGTGTTTTGTTGTGACGCACAGTCGTTAGCACCAGCGCACAGACATGGAGAGTTTGTACAAGCGCAAAATGTTCGCGTCCATGCGAAAAACTAAAGTGGACGCGTCCAAGAAGCGGCAGATAGGCCTGCCCGCCTCCATCCTGGATGACAGCGACGAGGGCTCCTTTTCCTCCTCTTCCACCTCCGGCTCACAATCCGACTTCCACAGCTCTTTGGAGGACGAAAGCGACCAGGAGTCCCGCGAGCGAAGCGAGTCCGGGGCGACCTCCAGCGACGACAGTCGCTCCGTGACGCGCAGGAAGCGCTCGTTCCTGGGCGGTAATGACAGCTCCTCATCCTCCGAAGAGGAGGACGACGATGATGATGATGAAGACAAAGAGGAGCATAAGAAAGGAAAAAGTCAGCCCAAGAGGATGGTGCAGCCCAGGAAGAGGAGCAGGTTACAGCCACAGGACGAGTCTGACTCGGACCACGCGGAGGAGAAGAAGAAAGAAGAGGAGGAGAGGGCGAAGAGGAGGCAGAGGCACAACAAGCTGTTGGCACTGTCACGGAGGATGAAGGCCCGTGTCCCCAACCGGAGGAGGCGCCGTGTAAAACAGGTACACACCTGATGACACCTGGAAACGTCACGAAACGTCCCGACAACGTGACGACTGTCACAAAATCATTAACGACACAATTACAGCCAGTATATTGCTACAGGGTTCATAGGGGAGCTTGAAGTCCTTAGAAGTTTTAAAAGTAACTTAAAGTATGTGTATAGTTAGTAATAGTTCCTTTATATAAGTAACCTTTATATTATAACAAATAGCTATACCATGGTACAAATATTTATCAGTAAAAAAATAAATAATACGTTAAACAAAATAGAGAAAGAAGCTTGTTGGCTGAAAAAAATGTTCATTCCCCTGTCACAGTGGGAATGTTAGCAAAGGTAACTATAAAATAGCCCTAAGTAGGAAAAAAACAACCCAAAAAGCTAAATGAAAAAATTCAAAAATCTTGAACTTGACAGGCTTTTAGTGCACTGTGAAAAAATTCAAAAATCTTGAACTTGACTTTGACAGGCTTTTAGTGCACTGCCATCAACAGAGGAATAAAACATCAAAATATGTTTTTGTTGTCATTTGTGATCAATTTTCTGTTGCATTTGTCTCCTTAGCCTGACGGAGATGAGGACGAGTCCAAGGATGGCGAAGATGAGGCATGCGGTGAAGAAAATGGAGATAAAAGAGAGAATAAAAAAGAGATAACAGAACATGAGGAAGGAAGACAGAAGGGGGAGAAGCAGGAGACACAGCAGAGAGCTAAGGATCAGGATGAGATGAGGAAGACCGATGAGGAGGAGGAAGAGGAGGAGGAGGAGGAGGAGGAGGAAGAAGACGAGGATGAGAAAGACAAGTAGCTCCACAAATTCAAGGAGAGTAACTAAACTCTGCTCTGGAAATAGCCTATTATGAAACCCTTTTGCTCCTTTTCATTTAAAGGAAAAAACAGAGAAACTGACGAGACCTGATACAAATGTCATATTTTGGACAAAAAGGAGATGACAGGATTTGACCATCCTGAGTAAACAGTGTCCATTTTGAAAAGACGAAGCTGGAGTAAAAAATGATGAAAAGACTGCGTTCTCACCCCGGCTCATTGAGCTCTGTTCCTGTGTTAAATGAATAGATGGAGTTTTTTGCAGTGAGACTGAATGAGATGCTGATCCATTGTCAGTAGCTGTCTTGCCTTTGGCCGGAAAAGTGGCCTCAAACACAGGTGTTTGCTCTCAGCGAAAACATGGTTACCAGCAGACACAGGTAAAGAATTAACCAAATAAATTGAACACTTAAGAGTCCCACGGTGAAACAGCCTTTTCCAACCTGGAAATTGAATTTTCTGTTAATTTCCCACTTGCCCACTAGACCTAATTCCATAGAGAAAATCAGTGATTTATGCCAGAGGGGAGGGAAAGGTTTTGTTTTAATTACACAAGTCATTAAGTAACAGGGTTAAACCAACTGATTGGGCAGCGGTTAAGCAGGAGCACTGCTGTGCTGCAGGAGTGAAATGTACTTTTTTCTGTATGGTCTTTGGTTCGGAAGAATGGCAAAGGTCAAACCTTTGTTTCTCCTCTGTAAAATGATTGTCGACATAAGCTTTCTTGCACAGGGGAGGGAGTGCAGTTGAGGTGGACAAAGACTCGGGTCCGGAAGGTTGCAGGTTCAAATCCAGCAGCCACCTTGTTCTTATTTTTGTAGCGGCAGCCGGTTTTTCACTTTGGCCTCTGTGTCCCAGACTGGTACTTGGCCCAGCAGGGAGTACTTTATATTGAAGTATCCATTTTACTACATATCCATTGATAATGTTACACTATGTTAATTAGAATTGCAGTGGAAAAGCAGCAGCAAACTGAGAGTCAACACTTTAGTCAGGAGCAGCTCTGTCACATGTGATCGTCTTCAGTTCTATAGGACAGACGTTTTAAATTTTGGATAAATACTGACACACCAAATGGCACTGCTGTAAAAAAAAAAAAAGATCTACCTTCTTCAAAACATGGTCAGTGTTTGTGACAAAATCTCTTCATTACCCCTTGGTATGAACTGACAGTGGCCATTGATGCTCGTTTGGCAATTAGGGCTATTTTGGAGAAACTGAACGAAGACAGATGAGCGTTTTATGATTATTTGTTGCTCTTTTTTTTTTTTTAGGTGTGGTTGTAACAAATCCTGACAACAGTCAGTCCTGGGGTCAGGATAAATCCAAGAATGGCTCTTTATTTAAACACCTGCAGCAATGTCCACAGAGAAAACGATCATTTCTAGCTCCTAAGAAACACATTATGGGATGTCAAAACAAAGCACTCGGAACACTGACGTCACAATGAAATGCATTTGAATTGATGGGTGGAGACGGCGATGGTTTGACCTGTTGTACAACCTGTAACTTTCTCCATGTCATAGTATCCATGGAGACCAAGT